CTATAAAACGGCTATATTTCAAGGGTAAAGGGGTAATTTGAAAAATAAAATAAAATAAATTTTTTTATTTTTTTCTGCCAACCCGGCGGGTTGGCTGTTGCAACCCGGCGGGTTGGCTGTTATTCCATAACAGTCAACCCGTCGGGTTGACAACAGCCAACTCGGCGGGTTGGCGGGTCTCTTGCAAAAGAGACAAAACAGCAACCCGTCGGGTTGCGGGTTGCCATTGTGCAACCCAGCCGGCCTTGGGGTTGTTGTCGGGTTAGGGTCAACCCGGACCGCCATCTTGGCGGTCTGGGTTCAACCCGCTTTTTTATGGGCCGGGTTAGGGTTGACCCGCCTAACCCGGCCCAAATGTTCCACCTCTAACCATCGTAGTCTATCCTTGCCACTACAGCTTATGATTGTTGCAGTTTATGTCGTTTGTTCATCTTTTGGTTGATTTGGAACTATTTTGTATACATTTCCTTATCATATAACTTATCTGAATTTAGATTTAAATAATAAATATTAATATATGTTTTTATAAAACAACGAAAATACTTATTTTAAAGCTTTATAGTGTGATTGCTAGTGGAGTTACTTGTCATTAAAATGTCATATCTATGGGCAATAGATTGTTTGCGTGTGACTTAAAATTGGAAAAAAATTAATTTTGATGAATGTAAAAGAGATGATGAAAATAATGTAAATAGAATAAAAGAGTGGCTGAGAATTGCAACAAGCCGTTAGAGCAACAACTATAAGTCTATAATAATACTATACTTACAAAGAAATCTTACAAAAATTTTCATATAAAGTGAGGTGGCAAAAAATGAATAGAAGAGTGAAATAAAAGTTCAAACTTATTAAATTCACTCTTCCATTTATTTTTTGATACATCACTTTGTATGGAGATATTTGTAAAATTTTTTTGTAAGTGTAGTATTACTCATAAGTCTATATCTGCTTATAATTGAAAAATATAAATAAATAATACATTTAGAATAAGTAACTATAAATTAAAATAAAGTAACACATGTACCTAGGGTGAAAAAAAAGTCTTTTAAATTCACTTTCACAATCAACGTGATCTTCTCAGTGACTCAACCCAAATATAAGGGCTTCTTAGAAATTTTCACACAGATCTTGGGTCTGAGAAATTTTTTCCCAATTTTTCTTTAAAAAAAAAAAAAAAAAAACATAACGTAATACAAATACCACATATTATATAATATATATACTCCCCCTGCTTAAATTTTTATCAATAATTAATTTATTTTTTAAGCTAATTCATACATGATAAATGAACGTTCAAGTCTTTCTAATGATAAAATATAGATTTTTATTTTATTTTATTGAAATGATAGAATTAGCGTCTCTTAAAAACTGAAGAACAAAGTTCTTTAGAAAACTCAGGTTTTAAATTTTTTTAATATATAAATAATCCACAATAACTTTATACAATCTTATAGAAACTTAAATTTGGGTTATTAAACGAGATTGGGTACCAACAATTTACGTATTGATATAATTTAGCGGATCTAGAAATTCTTGTTAGGGTGGACCAAAATAAAAAGTAATAGCATATACTATTTATATTCTATATTTTTAGTTGAAATTGTCACAAAAAAAAAAAAAAAAATTACATATATTTTTTTTTTTAAATTTGAGGGCAGGCCATGTCCCACCCTCAACATACTTTAGATCCGCCTCTAGATATAAATAAACAGTATATTCCAGTGAATAACGTTTTTGGCCAATTTAATAATACAATTCTATTTGGTTGGAATACTAGTATACTACAAGGACTATGATTGGAAAAAAAAAAAAAGTTAAAAAATATATAATACAAAGCAAAAAATATTGGCTCTCTTTGAGACAATTTATTTGGATTCGAGAAGAATAATAAGATTTGTTCAAGCACAACCTTTGATGAAGTAGAATGCAACATCAGTTGTGATCTTTCTTCCCTCTTGAACAAGAACTCTTCGTCGCTTTCCGGCGAAAGCCAGAAGCACCAAAACAGTGATCCAGGTGACCATGGTGGCACGCGCTGCAAGTATTAACAATGTGGCTGCACAAAAGACCACAACAGCTGGTAAACACAACGTATACAAGGTGGACCAGCCGCCGGTTGTGCTCTGCTGAGAATTATCTGAATAAAACAAGACCAAGTAGAAGGATACCAAGAGTGAAAAGAAAGATGTAGCTATGGTTGTTTTGGTTAAAAAGGCAGAGAGATTCATCAGTCTAAATTCAGAGAAGATGAGGAGGAAGAAGAAAAGAGATCAATGGTATGATTAATGAGGGTGTGATTAAATTATTGAATTGATGAGGTTGAGGAATGGAAGTGGAGGGCATGTGGTGCACATGGGGAAGTTGACGACTTTTTAAGTAAATTTGATATGTTCAATAAGAATATGAGGTGTCTGCAGTGATCACACTGTAGTAAACATGATTTTCCATCATTCTATATTTTTATTTCCATAATATGATTCTTGCATTAACAACTTATTTAGAATGAAAAGAAAGTTGGGAAGTGCAGGCTTTACCAGGGGAAGCAATAATTGGTACCAATTCATGAATGACAGAGAGGGGCCAACAGTGGGGGATAGGAATTTTTACTTTGCCACGTATTTTTGGTCGTTAGTGTTAGAAAATAATGTTCAAAAGATTCCCCCATTACACCATTATATCGATCACTACTCAACTACTTATGCTTCAGCAGTTACTCTTCATCTTTTTTATATCGCATCACCACTTGTAACAGTAATTTATGAAGAACAACTACTTCTATAACAATGCATGAATTGTCCCTTCTGTAGACCAAATACTAACCCCAGTTCATTCTTGTAAATTCCCAACTCAAAAGCCCATCACCGCAAGTCCTTATAACCAATCCAGCAGACAAAGTCAAAAGTTATTTAATACAACAGATTCATTTGACAAACATGCATCTTACAAATCCTTAATTATCTGGGCAATCAACTGTTCCACCATCTTTGTTCTTCCCACTTCAGATTTAATATTTGTTATCAACTCTGCTAACTGCAGGGCTAATTTTATGAAATTCGAGTGCTAAAAGTAGAGATTAAACAGCTTAATGCCTTCACGATGCCGTATCCGTTGGAATTGTGGAGGCAAACACTCTTTTCTTTTCTTGGCCTTCTTCGCCTGGCACAAGCAGTTTTGCAGAAGTAGTAGCTCTAGCTCGTACATACATGGACCAAATAAGTTGAATCACTACCTACAAATAGACATGTACTACATGACTAAGAAGGAGAAACGTGAGATGGATTTGTTTCAATGGTGGAACCAATATCAAAGTCGATTCCCCATTGTAGCTCAAATGGCACGTGACATTTTATCAGTGCCGATTTCTACAATTGCATCTGAGTCAACATTTTCAATGAGTGGACGGATTGTTGAAGACATAAGATGGTATTTAACCGATAAGATGATTGAAGTGATAACGTGTTTACGGGATTAGACTCATGCAGAGAGAAGACTACAACAGCACCCTGAAGATCTCGAACTACTCGAACCCTTTAAGAACACAGATTTTAATGATTTAAATATTGTTGACGATAAAGATGAATAATTTAATAAAAAAAGTTATTTAATTGTTTATTCGTGAAGCGTGAATGTGTGAATATTACATTTATGTTAAAATTAACCATTAATTAATTTATTATTTTTTAAAATTAATCAAACTTTTAAAAACTTACGAATCTACCCTTGAAAATTACTAAACCTCCCTACAAAATTTTATTTCGCCCCAAAAATATAAAAAAAGATAAGGGGAAAATAAAATTTTGCAGGCCCATAGGATCAATCAGGGTCCTGAAATTGCTCATGGGTCTAGGACCGGTCCCAAGCCCATGAGCGACTAGTCCTAAATGGGACCAGTCCCAAACAAACCCAGACCCGGGCTCGCTTGGGACCGGTCCTTGATCATCTCTACACTTGATCAGGATTTCAGTCTTGAATTGTTGCTGGATTATACTTAAGTTTCGCTTTCTTTTATCTGAATTCTGAAAAATATATTTACCTTTAACACTCGAATTTCATAAAATTAGCCGTGCAATTAGCATAGTTGTCTAGCGCGGCAGGCTATAAGATTCTCGGCTTTCTTCGTGGACGACTGTGGAGTTGGTTTTTGGTGATTTCCTTTCTTGTTTCCTATCTTAATTTCTTAATCAAGATAGACAAAAAAGAGGGTTGATGTTTTGTGGTTTTTTTTTTCTTTGTTGGGTTTTTTTTTTTTAGCTTTTGTTCAGTTCTTGTCTTTTCCTAGCCCAAGACTTGTCCCGAGGCAAGAATTTTCAAGTGTTTTTTTAACTTTTTTAGGGTCCATTGAATACCCTATAAACTTAATGTTCTAAGATAAATCACAAATGTGATAGGTGACATCAACAAACCTTATTAACTGCCTGAACAACCATTTGGAGTTAGAAATTGTGAATTTCTCATGTCCAAAAATTAGAAGCTCTAAGAGGAACAATTTAGAATGTAACAGTAGTTAGTGTCAACAGGCCAAAGCTTCAAAGACATCTTCTTCCTTACCATTACGTTATTAATTGTCAGCATTTATAATAGGATTTGTCAATTGTTCTCTAACACCTAAAATTAACACTTCAACTTTAAGTAATTTAATGATACTACACTACTAAAACATGAAACAAACATCTTCACTAATTTCTCCAAGATAACTTTCATAATACATTGTAAATGTTAAAGTTTGATGACCAAAGATCGGTAGATCATTGTTAGTTTCACAACCGTTTAGGCGGTTCTTAATATCTCACTAAACTTGGGGTAAGTTTTTGAAAATTTTCTTTTTTCTAACTGCACGGCTAATTTTATGAAATTCGAGTGCTAAAAGTAGAGATTAAACAGCTTAATGCCTTCATGATGCCGTATCCGTTGGAATTGTGGAGGCAAACACTCTTTTCTTGGCCTTCTTCGCCTGGCACAAGCCGTTTTGCAGAAGAACAATTAGAGGAAATTAAACAATATGCATATTNTTATGAAATTCGAGTGCTAAAAGTAGAGATTAAACAGCTTAATGCCTTCATGATGCCGTATCCGTTGGAATTGTGGAGGCAAACACTCTTTTCTTGGCCTTCTTCGCCTGGCACAAGCCGTTTTGCAGAAGAACAATTAGAGGAAATTAAACAATATGCATATTGATATACCATTTATGTGCTACTAATAAAACAGATGATTAAGGCATTAGTTTACTTCTTCCTTCCAATTTGTGCGCATTGTAATGATTAAAAGCAAAAGTGCTTGTAGGCCACTCCCACATATGATTCCCATCCAAAGTCCCTGCAGAACCGGGAAATGGAATCAGTAACTCACGCATATGCTTTCCAAATATTAACCAACTTCTTACCTTTCCTCCAAATTGGAAGAAAAATGTTAGGCTTATAGCCGAAGGAAGGCCAACAAGGTAATATGCTGCTAGATTTACATACACACAAATCTTCTGCCAACCACATCCTCTAGCAATCCCTACATGCATTATGGTTCAGCATAGTTAATTTTTCTGATACCAGGATTATATCATTAGCTTGAAGTAAAGCATCAGATACAAAATCACGAACCGGAACTTATTTTAATTTTTCAATCAGAAAGTTCTATTGAAAGTTATTGCAAAAAGGAAATAACTTAAACCTGAAAATACAGCCTGCATTCCATCCATGAAGTTTGATATAGACAGCACTAACATTATGGATGCCAGATATGTTGTTACCTCCACTTCATTGGTGTACATACAGCCCCGTATGTCCCTTGCAGCAACTGCAATTGAGCTTAGAAAAAGATTCTCCATGACAGCCAAAATTATGGCAATCAGCACTGCAAGACGCGCAGTATAAGGTCTCTCTGCCCCTAATTCATTTGAAACTCTTGTGCTTTAAGGGACCAAGAAAAAGAGAAGAAAACATTCAATACATTATGTCAGATTTCACGGTTGAGGAATATCAATTATCTGTCGTGTTTTAGCATATCTACCTTATAGCACTTCCCAAACCATAGGGGATCCTGAAGACCACTGAACTTGTGTTTAGACTGCCAAGCGAATTGTTTGAAATTAGCAGCATATATTATGAGGCATACTGAAGACATACAAGTAATTCTTAGTATTCTAGTTAAAAGTCAGCTCCAATGTTGCCTTAATTATAGGGTTCTAATTTTTTTATTATTGAAGTTGTTTTCTGCTATTCAAAAAACAGAACCACCATATGAAATTCATGTCTTTACAGAGTCACATTACTCTAAGGTGACGAATAGGGTTTGATTAACACTAACCATGAAAAAATTGTTTAATGAATGTGAATATCCAACACTGTAGAACTAACAAACGCTATTGGCAGGTTAATTTGATATTTGTTTCAATATATCATCAGTAGTTAATATGCACTTGTGATGAATGTCAAGGAAATGCAAACCTGATCGACATCATTGATGTTTCTAGCTTGGGATTGGGAAGAAGGCCCGACATGAGAACCAAAAACTCATATGACCAGTATTCCAAGCTGATAAATGTCACAAAATAATAACATCACATACTTATTACAGACTCTTAGGCTTCATAAAAGCATGCAGTTTTATTATTAATGTGTAAGAGATATCAAACTTACCAGACCATAAGAGCTGAAGGTATGCCTAATCCAAGAAAGCTGTGGAGATTTTCCAGGGCCTCTTTGGAGAAACCCGTCCAAGTTTTCCGACACGTTGGAGAAAACTTGATATAGATAGCCAAGATAAACACATTGACCCAATAAGAGATGGCACAAGACAGGGCGGCTCCTTTGCTCCCAAATCCAAATCCGAAAAGGAAAGTCCAACAAGTAAGGACATGAACCAAACTTGTGACTCCGGTACTTATCATCAATGGGAATACATTATTCTGGGTTTGCAAGAATCTTAATTGACACTGAAGAAGGCTGAAAGGAAGAATGCTAGGGATCAACCAGCGAGCATATATCCCTGACTCCAATGAAATTTGGGGGTCTTGTTTAAGGGTTGTGAAAATTTGCTCTGTAAAGGCCCACAGAATTGCTATAGGAAGAATTGCAAATGTAAGAACAAGCATAGCTCTCTGCATGTATACACCAGCATGGGATTCTGTTTTGCTCCATATGCTTGTCCACAGAGTGTCTCCAGTGCACTTCCCATTCCCAGCTTGTTATAATTAATTAACAAAATTTACATTCCAAAGTTTAGTTGAGGTGAACATACAACTACAACTAATTATATTATAGTAGAACACTTCATTATTTTCATTGCATATCTTTATGAACGCGCGACAAATCAGTGTGATATAATAATATAATTAAGGGTCTACAATATCCCAATCCTATAATTATGATACTGTAGATAATAACAAAGAAATTGAAATGGTGCCTCGAAAAGAAAGACATCTAATCAAATAATTAAGAGAACAAGATAGCAGTTCATTGCTTTGACATGTTCATCTCTTTGCAGTTTCCGGAGATTTGATGTGTAAGAAATTGTAGTAGCAACTATGAAAAGCTTACCATGAAACTGAAACCAGTGACTCCGGCAAAAGAAGTAGCCATGGAAGCACTCGCGAGAGATAGCTCAACAAGATGGCCAACATACATGACAGAAATCATCTGTAAGCTATATTGTAAGAAACTAACCGCAACCAGAGGTCCTGCCAAATGCATTTGCATTTTCAACTCCTCCATTATCTCTGTTTTGTCACATATTAATTTCTTGGACAGAGTTGCACCATGATCAAAACTCTCTTCAGAATTTGGAATTAGAGGAGACTCGAGGACAGATTTAGCATGATCTGCTTGCTCCATCTCACTCAAAAGTTCAAAGGAGAAGTCACTAAACTCTTCCCGAAGTAAGGCTTGTGTGTGGAGAAACAAATATTGAGATCATATAGAATTAGTGGTCTTTGATAGAGGATTATGGTAGCGTAATCACCGAAATAAGACAATCATTGCATGCTTAAATTAATATTCAGAGACATTATGAGATTAAAGTTATTAATTATCCACCATCTATTGGTTGGCATCATTAATATTAAGGTCGGTATCCAATGACAAGAGAATTTACCAAGGCAGTTTTTCTGTCATAATGTGGAATCACATTTCTTGTTCTTACAGGAAAAAGTAGTCATCAGAAAGTGCAGCATGAATGGCTGGCTGTGTGTTTCCTTGAATGCTATGAAATGATAATAGCATTCAAGGAATCAAGCCCCACAAGTTTACATTAATAATTGACGAAAATGGTGAATGTGGAATCAGTTAAAGAAGGATACGTAATATGAATCATATTATTAATTAAAAAATCTTGAATAATACTATAGTTACAAATATCATCTAAAGTCTACGTGGATTGAGAAACCATTTATAGAGGTGACATTAAGGTCTTTTGCTTTTGTAATTAGACTACCATTGGATTCATTCACTAGTTTGGTTTAACATCGTATTGACCAAGTAAAACAATATAATAAAAAGACATTAAAATTTATCTTAAATTATTGAATGTGTAGTATTGTTTCAACTTAAATTAACTCATATCGTGTGGTTTTAAAAGATCTAGAACAAGATGGAAACACATAGAACGATGAATCCAATGGATCTTCCTATGATCATGGCTCTGATATACCAAGAAAATTTGTTTTAAGGTGAACATTTATACCTTGAAATTTTGCTCATTCTTAATGAAAATTTTATTTTATAATTTAAAAAAAAAAAAATTCAACCATATAAACTTTGTATTTTAAGATGATTACAAAATAAAATTAAAAGAGATGATATGTCATATTAATTTGTTAAAAAATAATATTTATCAGAAAGTGGTTAGCTTTAGACTTTAACGAATTGCATGGCCTACAATGTCCCAATTGTCAATTATTTAAAGAATGGACAAAATTATAATAATCAAATAACATTAGAATTTATACAAGTCGGATAATGACTTCCCTATTTTTTTCAACTGCACTCGTCATACTTTTAATATTCAATATACTTAATTATTATAATTTTGTCCATATAATCCTTATATGTATGTAATTACCCAATTCTTTCATAATCCACTAAATCAAAAGGTGTTAACTCAGGCGATACGAGGAAAAACAAAAATATTGACTAACAATAGCACAATCCTCATACTTTATCAACATGTAGCTGTAAGGCACCTCTAGTTGTATCACCATTTGGATTCATGTAGAATTCTGAATCCAATGGTTCTTCCTATCATAATTCAGCATTTGTAATTAACTATTCCAAAACCTTAAACAAAACAGATTATAGAAAATATGTTATATCACTTTTGAAATGGTTCACGGACGACGCTTCGTCCCAGCGTCCAAAATAAGAAAGGGCAAAATCCATAAGCTATATATACCAGCCCCCGAAACCCAATAATCACTACAAAAACGAGCAATAAACATGATCCAAACTACAAAAACGAGCAACCAATCATCCATAAAATCATTTCATCTTTCGTAAATTTACAGGGTTGAACTCATAACACTCCTCCTTTTCAACTACTTCAAACATTTCCAAATACCTTATGCTATGATTTGATTCACTACTTTTGTGATAGCCAAAAAGCTTCAGCCACTAAACAGTAAACACCCTGACAAGTGACATCTACCTTACCATATTAACAAAACCATTATAACACTAAATGTAGGAGATCAAAGGTCATTGTTTACTGCTTTCTAAAGACCAAAAACCATTGTTTACTGCTCCCTAAAAATTGTAAGGTAGAACTGGGAAGGATAACCTTCTTTCTTCATATGGTTACTTTTCCACTTCTGGTCGTGGATAGTGACAATGTCAATGTCATCGTCAAAACAATTGAGTAATAGGAATTCGCAAATCGCAAGTGAGTATTTTCATTATAAGACAATCCAATGATCTCCCTTATTTCGATATATCACACGAAAAGGACTGGTATAAAAATTTCAAATTCCAGTTTCTTTAATGTACAGTTAAAGGCATTTCACTAAAATAAAAACATAGTAATAAATAACTTACCAGACACCCCTACTATTAAAAATTCCCAAGCAGCAAAATTGTTGGAGATTCATCACTTTATGCCCTGCTCTAATTGATCAAGTTAGAATAAGAAAGAGCAACTATATTAACAGCGACAAATCCCAAAGTGTCCCACAACATCAGGAATTTGGATACTCAAGATATTCTTGGAGCATGGAGTCAAAACTGTTGATCAAGGCAAGGGTCCCTAGGACTCCCAGTTCCTAAATATTCTGAGACAGTTTCACTAACACCAGAAACATAAGTTTTCAACCACGAGGTGCTGCGGGTCAACCATCCTGTCTGTCCCTCTTCGCTTACTTGCATCATGCTTTTCCTTTCCTCCTCCACTAGTAGTTGAAGCCACCTCTTGGCCATAAAATCTTTGACAGCTTCAACTCCTTGCTTCACAACCTCCATTGGTGGGATTACGAGAGGATTCTCATCCAGGTCGAGTTTTGTCAAATTGTCAAGTCGGCCAAATGTATCAGGAAGAGCATGAATCTGGTTGTTACTAAGATCAAGTTCCTTCAGGTTTATCAAATCACCAAAGGTTTCCGGAAGTTCAGTCAGGTCATTGAAATTTTTGCTCAGATTTAAGATCTCAAGATTTGTCAATTTCCCAATTGATAGTGGGAGGCCATGGAGCTCATTGAAGTGAGCATCCAGATACCGCAGAGACCTCATCTCGCCAATTGACGTTGGAAGCGAACGAATCTTATTCAAAGGAATTGAAAGCTTCTGTAGATTCACTAATTCAAATCCAATATTAGTTGGCAAGTATGATAGGCGGTTGAAGCCAGCATCGAGCTCCACCAATGACCTGAATCATTCCAAACGAATTTAAAAGTCTAAAAAGAACAACAGAAAAGACAAATTTCAACAAACGAGCAATAAACTTACCTGCATTGACAGATGGAATCTGGTAAAGCACACAGTTTGTTTCCAGAAACATCAAGGATTTTCAAATTATACAACAACCCAATGGAGTCAGGTAGGGACTCTAAAAGATTTGAACCCAAATAAAGTTCTTCCAAATTCGTTAATCCAGCTATTGAGTCAGGGATAACCTGATATGTAATGGAAAAAACAGCACTGAAAATGATTCTAACAAGTTACAAATTTTAAATTTCAATAAAATGGAACCAAGTAAGCCTTTTATAATTATAATTTTCCACACTTTTCACATTATTGTAAACAAATTAAATTCAATTAAAGACAGGTAAATAAGGACAAAAAAATGAAATAAATGTTACCTCAAGCTGATTATTAGACAAATTTAAGACTTTCAATCCTGATATCCTTCCAAAAGCTTCGGGCAAGAACCTGAGGCGTCTGGAAGACAAATCGACTCTTTCCAAGGGCTTTCCAGAAGCTTCTTGAAGCACTCCCACAACTTCCTCATTGACTTCTTCACTTACAGGTAAGACCTCACTGCCATCCGCATTTTCCGCTTTCTCATAAATCTTAACCAACAGCGCCTCCGCCTCCTTCAACATCTTCTCATAGGCCTCGTGCATCTCATCCACTTGTAAAATCGATTTGTACACGCTTTTCTCCTTCTCTGCCTTTTCTCTACATTCCTTCTCTTTCTCCGCCAAGTGCGCCCGCCACTCGAAACGGTCCACCTCAGCAGGGCGAGGCATAAGCACGATTTCCTCCAGAGATTTCGACAGACTGCTTTCTATTTCAGAGAGTCTAGCTTTTGCGTTGTCGACTGTCTCGTGGTCAGGGCGCGGCCCGAGAGCCTGGAGAACGGATCGGGTCTGGTAGACGTCATGAATGGCGTGCCTCATGGAGGAGATGAGCTTGGGGTCAGACAAATGAGGCATTCGATCAACAATTATCTCTGATTGACCCGAAGAGGATGGATCGGGTTGTTCGATGTCGTATTCGGCGGCGGTGGCCGAGGTGGTTCTAGGTCCGAAGGTGGGAAGACGGGCCATGACGTAGGAGAGAACAGGGAAGTTTTTGGGATTGGGATCCATGCGGGGTTTTAGGGTTTGAGAAGGAGGAAGAGAAGTATGAAAAAGGATGGTTATTAAATGAATGAAAGAAGAGTAGTGAAGTAACAGAGGGTCAGAGAATGGAGAAAATATAGGACGATGACAATAGGTTAATAACGGCACCAGGTGTTACCATATAAACTTATATGGGTTATGGGTACGTGATGTCATGTCACGTTGCGAACTTGCGATAACTTCGAATGAAGTTTCTCAATCAAATTCAAACCTCCGTCCTTCGTGTTTATCAACACAGATTGTTATTTTTATTTTATTAACGAATAAATATTGATTGAGTATGGCCGTTTGGGATTATTAAAGAGGTAATCTATTTAATAAATTAATTAATTGGGATTGGGGGTTAGGCTTGTAGGTAGGCAATGCCGGCTCAATGCTAATGCTACTTCGTGAACCTTCTTTTGGATATTTCCACGTATTTCAATATTTGAGGAAAATAAGAGTATGACTATAGAAGTTCTATATGATAATAAGGTTTTTAAAAAAAGAGTAAACGGCATGTTCCCACCCAAGGTTTAACAAAATCCCGAGTTGGTATCACAGGTTCCATTTATTTCAAATTTTTACCCTTAAAGTAACGAGAAATGGTTAGATATAACGGCTCAAGGGTAAATTGGTCATTTCACAGAGGAAGTGCACATTAGCAGATCGCCGCCCTTAACAAAAATCTGGTACACGTTAGCAACATCGCCGCCATCATTTTTCGCTTTTTTCCAACGATTCTTCCACCCAAAATCACCATTGTCACCACCATTCGAACCCTCATCCTCTCCTCTACCAAACCAT